CTAAGTAGCATATTCTTCTTCATCTACCATTTGAAATTGGAAAATAATAATGAATACGGTCAATCTGATCTAAATTACAAGAATGAATGGTCTAAAGTTTTGAGCACCGTGTGTCTATATTCTATTACCATTGTTGTCAAATCATGAATCAAATCGTGAATTGTATGATAATTTACTTTTATTTTAAACATTGTATGTATTTTTATCAACGATTCATTTAATTTCTGTTGCAACAAAACGATTCAAATTGTTTTTTGTTGAAACTTGTATTGAATTGTGAATTGTACGATTCTAACAACCATGACTATTACAATAGAGAAAGACTAGGGGTACCACCAAATTTTGGTAAAGCCACTTCCTTGAAGCTCCATCGCGGTTTTCCTCAACAAGCAAAACAGTAAATATGTAAAATAAATCTTACCTACAATTCAATTAAGATCAAATTCATATCAAACTCATTTATTGCTATACAACTCACATTCTCTTTGCAATAGTTGTTCAATTCCCACTAAACTCAAACTTCCTCTCATATTTCTAACACTTCTTCCTCTTAATAAAAGAATATTTATTTAATATAAATAATTAACAATATTTATTGAAGTTCACACACACAGTACATGCTACCCATCTAGTATGTATATATTTTCCCTTCCTAAGGAGGCAGAGGAGAGGAAAAGAGAGTTTATAATGATTAGTTCATTTTTTGTAATAAGAAAACATAAATGATGAATGACAATACAAAAAATGTGTAAGATGTAGGACAGCTAAAGAAACTTAGGCTAAAGCTGGTTGTGATTGATTTCATGGCTTTAGGTTTAGGAAAACTTTTAGGTCTATGATTTTAAAAGGCAGAAGAAAGAATCTAGGTCTTGTGTATGAAGAAGGGTTGAAAATTGGTTGAGTTTTACAAATAGGTTGTTGGATTTTGAGAAAGGTGGTTCTTGGAGAGTTTGGACAACAATCACTTTGCTTGGTTATACTTTTCCAAAAACACTTTTTAGAAAATTCTACTTTTTTGTTTTCCGTGTTTTTTTTTTTGTTTTTACTAAATTTTTTTAATATTTTAAGCAATTTTTTTTTACTTTTTAGACATACCTAACATAAATATACCTAAAAAGTAAAAAAATTGTGAAAAAACATTTTAAAAATTCACTAAATACCAAAAATACAAAAAAAAATACAAGAATTCAGTTAATATTTTTGTATTTTCATGTATTTATTAATTTTTTAAAATAAATTTTCACAATTTTTTTATTTTTTAGATACATCTAAGTAAGGTGCATCTAAAAAAGTAAAAAAAATGTTTAAAATTTAAAAAATATTCACTAAAAACAAAAAACACGAAAACCAAAAAACTCAATTTTCAAAAAACTTAATCCAAAAAACTCAAACCAATCACACTAGTTTTAAGATTACTAGGTGTGGTATAATGCTCAAAGGGTAGGGGAAGGAATTAGCTTGTTTAGAGTTTAATATGTTGGTTTTCTGGCTTAATGAGGGGATGTTGTGGGGTTGTGAACAGTAATCCAAAAGCAAGTACTTGGTTTTTGCAAAAGAGAAGAATAACCCCAAGAAAGGGATCTCACGAATTAACTCAATCTGAACTCCATTAAAGAGGAAAATTACGTACATATTTGTAGGCTGCTAGTATTTTCGATTTTGTATTACGATTATGACTGATGAATAGAATTTGGATGATTTTAGACCTAATAAAAACCAGGAATAATAATTCATGATCCAGTAAAATAACATGATCTATTATAATCCATGGATCCATACTATTACCATGTCTAGTATGTAATTATAACATTAATATTAGAAAATTGTTTGAGATAGAGTTCTTCTTAGAAACTATCAATACCAAAGGTAATCAAAATTTATACTTCTTGCTTACATTTTGTACATGTATCTTATTGCATATCACTTGTATTGTAAAATATAGTGAAGGATGGGATACATATTGATGTAACTTGTCATTTTAGCAAGTAATTTATATTTATGTACTATGGTGCACAATATATTGCAACTGTGCTTGTAGTTACTGTGCTTGCAGTTGGATAGAAGTTAAATTTGTAGAATGGTTTGTGTTATCAAGATTAAGAATTGATAAAGAATTGTGCAAGAATTATAGGGGCCTAACAGACTCATCCTGGCTTTGTTCTTTTACCTTGAGGTGGACTCTGCATGGATTGCTGATAAAGAGGAACAAACTGATGGTGAAATATACTCTTTTCATTAAAGGTTGTATTTTTCATGTGGAGTTGTTAGTTGGGGATTGAGGATCTTGATTGGATTTTAATTAGTGAGGCAAAGTCTTCTTGGATTGAGAGGCCTTCATGAGATGGAAGTTAGAGTGGAGGTTTTTGATTGTGAAAGGGATAAGAAGTTGTTTTTTGATTGAGATAGTTTTAATATGGTTGTATGTCAAAATTGTTGGGAGGTGGTTAAGGGTGAGATTTAATGAAGGTATTTGTAGAATGTTTTGAGAATGGGAGTGAGTCTTTGTACCACCAATGCTTCTTTCATTAGCTTGATCCCAAAAAGGAGAATTGTATGGAAATTGGTTATTTTAGACTCATAAGTCTAGTAATTTGTTTGGCTAGAATATTGAGAGTAGCTTTAGGTGATACCATTTTTATTTTTTTGGGTGCTTTTGTTGAGGGTCATTATATTTGAGAAGTGGCATTGACAGCTAATGAGACAGTGGAGGACTACAGAGCCCATGACAAGGAATGGGTAATTTTAAGGCTGGTTTTGAAATATCTTGTGATCATATATGGATTGGGGGTTCTTGGAATATGTTTTGTATAAGAATAAGAAAGGTTTTCATGAGAGATGGAGGACGTGACGAAATGAATATCTTGCTCCTTCCAACATTTCAGTTGTTAATCGAAAGATGAGAGATTCCTTTAGAGCATCTAGGTGTCTTTGGCAAGGGTATCCTGTGTCTTCATTTCTATTAAGTGTGGTGGCTGATGTCTGGAGTAGAATGGTTGATAGGGCGAAAGAGAGGGGATTAATTGATGGTCTTGTGGTTGGCAGATATTGTGTTTTGGTATTGCATATACAGTTTGCAAATGATACCATTTCCCTCAACCGTCAACATAGCCTCCCCCCCCCTCCTTCCTTCTGGTGAAGAAGATGAAATGGTCAATTTGCATTCTACTAATGGTCAATTTGCATTCTACTATTGGAGTGTTTGAAATAGTGTAAGGACTTAAGGTCAATATGAAGAAGAGTACAATGGTGGGGATTAATTTGTCATAGGATAGGTTGAATAGATTGGTAGACCTTATGGATTGTTCCATTGAATCACTACCAATTAAGTGTTTAGGGCTTTCTTTGGGTGGGAACCCTAGATATGAAGAGTTTTGGGCACTCTGATGGTGAAAAAGATTAGGAAGAGATTAGATGGTTGGAAGGGAGCTTTGATTTCTAAAAGGGGAAGCTTTGATTTCTAAAAGGGGTAGCTTTACACTAGTCTAGTCAATGTTGTCCAGTATACGTATCTACTATTTATCCTTGTTTAGAGTCTTGCTGGGTGTTAATAAGATTGAGAAGGTATATTGAGAGATTTTCTAAGGGAGGGCAGTGACAAAAGGAGGAAAGACCATTTGGTCAATTGGGATGTAGTTTCCCTCCCTAATAGTGAGGAAGGACTTGGTATGGGTCACATCATTGAAAAGAATATTGCATTGCATGGAAAGTGGTTATGGAGAATTCCACAGGAAAGCAATTCCTTATGGCATACAACTACTAAAAGTAAATATGGGCTACAGGATAATAGATGGGATTCTTGTGTGGTTGAAGAAGGGACCTATTGATCCCCATAGAAATTTATCTATCAAGGCTATTTGCAATTCACATGTCTTGTTGTGGCTAATGAGTAGGTTATTTATTTATGGGAGGAATGTTTGGAGGGGTGAGAGTTCATTTTGTCTTTGTTTTGGCGATCTTATCACTTATGTAGAACTCATAATGTTTCAATTGCCTCGATGGTTTTATCCAATTCCACTCCAATTTTTTGAAATTTTCAGTTTTTTAGAAATCTAAATGTCTTGTAGATCAATGAGCGTTCCATGTTGGCAGTTCTTGAGTCTCTTGGTACAATGTTTCTTTTGATAAAAGGATGAGGACCCTTTATTCATTTGGATTGTTCTCTTGCAAGTCATTTTTTGATAAGTTAATTGATGATGATCTTGATGTTTCATATTTTGCCCCTCGCAAGATGATTTGGAATACTTCTGAGCTTTTTAAGGTTAAAGTTTTAGCTCTCAAGAAGTTTAATACCAACGTTACAGTTCCAAAGAGAAGAACAAATTGTTCCTTACAGTCTCAATGGTGTATGTGTAGGGGGTGGGTTTTGATAATTTAATTTTGCGTTGTCTTTTTATTGTGTGGATTGGGAACTTCATGCGTCTTGTGTTCACTTGTTACATGTTGATCTTAGAGGTTTTGGCTCGATTGAAAAAACTCAGGCTCTTTGGAATTGTGTAGTATCATCTGCTGTTTTTTTGCATCGTATTGTTGGAAATGAATGCTAGAATCTCTAAAGGAAAAAGGAAAGATTTGGAGGACTATGGATGAAGATTCATTTCTTGGCTTCATTTTGGGTTTTGGTGTATCCTTTTAAGGAGAATCCTTTATTTTTCATCTCCATAGATTGAAGGGCTATTTGTAGTTTGTGACATCTTTTGTATTTTCTTTTGTTTTTAGGAACCTCTTGTCTCCATTTTTTCTTTCTTGTGTTTGTATACTTCGTTTTCATCTTTTTATTAATAATTTTTTTTTTTGCTGATAAAAAATAAAATAAAACTCATGCACACATCGATTTATGATGTTGTACACATTTTCTTGGTGTTTTTGCATATAGTATGCTTCCAGTACTAATTGTAGATGCAGTTAGTCACTAACAGAATGTGTAATAGGTATAATAATTAGTTAGATGAAGAACAATTCCCCATTTCAAATTGTTACAAAAACTGATTTTTGGGTTGTAGGATGCACTTAAACAACTATGGAGGTTAGCTTATCCTGATAGGGAACTCCCATCTCTTAAATCGGAGCTTTGGAAGGAAATGGGTTGGCAAGGATCCGATCCTTCGACAGATTTCAGGTAAGTGGAGTAGATACTGGTTTGCACTAAGATTTTTTTTTTTTTTTTTTTGTGAACCAATATTAATTTTTTTAATACTATTTTTTTAGGGGTGGCGGTTATATATCATTGGAGAATCTTATCTATTTTGCTAAGACGTACCCGGTTTGTTCACTTTCCTTTTCATTGTCATGTTTGTACTTGATTATCCTTTGTTTTGAAGTAATTGATATTACTTCATTATTTTTTTTTTTGGGTAAGCAGTGATTCAAGCTAAATCATTGGTGCTTTGTCCTTGCTATATGGTGTTGGCTGTTTTAATTGCATTTTTGCTTCTAGCTTATTTGGAATTATATCCTTCTGTTGAAGTATGTGCTTGTGATTTTTATTCTTTGTTCTTTTGTTTTCCTATAACTTCTTTTTGTCAGTATTTCATGTTGTTTGTGCCCCTTATTGTGGCTTGTTTGACTCAAATAATCCCAATTCTTTCATGGTCTCGCCATGGTAACTAGGAAGAATGAATACACTAGCTATTTACGATTTAGAATGCATGTTTTTAAGTGTGGTATACTGTTGTTTCAAAACAGTGTACTCATGCAAAAGGGATGTATTTATTTCTTGTACTTGGGGGGAAGGGTACCTAAATTGACTTGAGATGCTGTAGATTGGCATGAGATGCTGTAGGAAAGCTCTCTCCAATAATATCCTGTTTAGTCTAGCAATACCCCTTTTATAGAACACTCAACTAAGAAAAGCTCTTTCTAAATTTTATTAATAATCAAAACACACTAATTTGCCTCTAGCCTTGGAACTTATTTATAGTAGACATGTTGTAATCTGACTAGGAAACAATAAACTAAACTTGAAATTAATAAAGAAAAACATAAATTTACCCTCTATTTTTTTTTTTTTTTTTCCCCCTTTTTTTTTTTTTTTTTTTTTTTTAAAGTGTTGAGAAAACCTAAAGAAACATGTAAACTGTTTTGAAAATGCACAGTTAGACAAAGTTAATAGGTAATTTTTTTTTTATTTAAAAAATGGAAAAAATGTGAAAATGCAAATTTGACAGCCTAAATGATGGAATTTGCCTGGAAACTAACTTAGTTCATAGCAAAGGTGTGAGTTTTGCTCATTGGGATGTTATCGATCGAACATGGGCCTTTTGAAAGCCCAAGAACTATGGGCGCAGACATAAAATATGGGAAGCCACTCTGGGATATCCATGCACATCAGTTTATATAAATTGTTTTTATGTTCAACGCATTATTGAAATATTGGAATCTTAATAGTCATTGGTATTTTGACATGTTAATAGGCCATTAGCTTTAGTTGTCATGTCTCACTGTTAGGGGCTCCAGGTGTGGCATACTATATTGCCCCTCAGCTATGTTTTGAATACATGAGGTTTCAGTTCCAGGCCATTCAAAGGCTATGTATGATTATCCGCCACACTATTAAACGATTCCCTAGGTAGGGCTTATTTCATTGTCTGGTAAATTTTTGTAGACTTACTCTGCTATGTTTCAGTTTGCATACTACTTTTTGATCACATCATCTGTGATGGCACTGTGATTGTATTTCTCTACTTGGCAGAGATCGACTCTCTGCACTTCTCAAATCTGTGCCATCCTGTCATTCCATTCTTTTGCACTTTTCACCTCTCCAATATAGGCCTTGTTTGATAGGGTGCTTATTTCTAGCTTATTTCAGCTTTTAGCTTAATTTAAACTATTTTGATATGTTTGGTTCAGCTTAATAATACAGATTATAACTTTTTGTAAGTCAAAAATCAACTTATTTTTTAAGTGGGGGAGGAGAAGCTTAATTTATAAGTCAAAAATCAGCTTATGTTCACAGCTATAAGGTATAATCTGTTAAGTTATAATCTATAATCACTTTCTCACAGCTCTACCAAACGGGGCCATATTCATGATTTCTTGGTGACTTTGTGGGTTTTTTTTTTTTTTTAATTTTTTTTTTTTTAAGTATAGATTTTTTTTAATGGTCTCTACGATGTTCTTGTTTTTTAAAACATGATAGGACTTGTATGATTAAAAATCTATTGTTGGTGTCATTGATAGTTAATATGGAAATCAATAGTGGAAGTAGTTTTTATTACCCTTTTGTTCTTTTAACAGGAAGCATTTCAGAGCTTGTTGCACAAACGAGATGGAAGGAGAGCTGAGTGGGAGTATCCCTTTGCTGTCGCTGGCATCAATATGTCTTTTACGTTAGTGCAAATGTTGGATATTCAATCAGGTAATTGATTAACTAGATTGAAGAACTATTCACCAATAATTAGTGCTTTCATTATTAATGACCATTATGTAGATATGTGCAACGTGAGATCAATGTTTAATGATAAAAAAAGTAATAAAGTTCTTAGCATGTTTCTTTAATGAAAAATGGCGCTTCTTGTATTACTTGGTGTTGGTGAGTTACAAACCGAAAGTCATTGTTCTAACAAACACGCATTGTGTTTGTCTGATGCAAACCATGTGTGTAGCAGAGTTAGAATGGAGTTTGAAGTTTTAACAAGCCAATTTGTAAAGACCAGGCCAGGTATGGTACTTTATTTTCTTATAAATGTTGTTTGTGGAATAGGAAAGTGTAGAAAACACTTAGTGCTTCCGCATTTTAAACTTGTAATAGATAATAGATATAAAGCCTAACCCCCTGGAGTTGGTGTGTGAAGTAAATTCGATATGGTATGGTACGACATATTTTAAAAATATTTTCTTTAAAATACGGTAACTGACTTATAAAGAAGTGGGATTAACTGAATTAAAAGTGAAGAGATTACAATGAGGCAAGGCAGACATGCACACTGAAAGTGCACACAGAGACTGGCGTGCACACATGCACGCTGAAAGTGCTCTCACCCATTATGTTGTATTTGCATTTTTTATCTGCCAAGATGACTGCAGTCATAGGGAGCATTATAAAGTAGTCAATAGTTTTCTTTGCTATAGTTTGAATCTTGATTTTATGTTCTTTTTGAGCTAAGAAATTATTGAAGAGTGACATACTAAAGTTGTGAATTAATTTGATGGTGTAATTTTTTGCAGGGAAGCCAACTACTATGGCTGGAATCCGATTCTTAGACTTACTAATCGAAGATGAAATGGCGTTTGACAACCTTTACTGCATTGCTTTCCAAATGATGGACGCTCAGTGGCTTGCAATGCGTGCTTCATATATGGAATTTAATGTAAAATTTCCAGTGTCCATTTTTGTCTATTGAGAATTACAATGTATGTTTTGTCGCTGTTCTTATTTGTTATATACATTGGATTTTTATTTTTGTTTCTTCAGGATGTTCTAAAGTCTACAAGAACACAGCTAGAGCGTGAACTTGAGCTTGAGGATGTCTCCCATGTGAAAGATTTACCGGCATACAACCTTTTGAAACGATGATGTGGGCTAAGTATAGTTTGTCTCGAAATTTTAGTTTTCCATTTCTTCTCTTTTCTTTTTCTTTTTCTTTTTTGAAATTACAGAAAACTATCCCATCTGAGATATGTCATAACTTTATAAATTCTCTTCATTATATATAAAAAAAAAAAGAGATCAACTATTGCAACATATTAATTATGTCTTTGTAATTTCATGGGATTGTTTGATTGTGCCTCTTGGTTTATTAGCTAAAATCTAATCTTGTTTGGAAGTGTTTGATTAGGATTTAGGATTCTGTCCAGGTCATGATATCTAGGGGTGTAAAAAAAAAGGGTGGAACTAGTAAACCAATCCAATCCGTTCTAAATGGTCAATTTGATCTGGTTTTTACTAGTTTTTGTTCAGGTTTTGGTTTTAAAAATGGTGGAACTATTCAAATCGATCTGGTTCTAGTTCTAAGGATTTGGTTATGGTTCCAAACTAAACCGGATCGTGACGTAGTTATTTATTATTATTTTTAAGATGTAAATATACTTTAATATTGATGTAATAGATATTAATCGATTTAAATTGATTATTATAAAATATCCTACTTATCAATGATATAACTTATACATTATGTTTAAATTTATTATTATAAGACATTTGTACTAATTAACTTATCAAATTTTTTAGATTAAGACGTTTTCAATGTTGTTCTATCTTTACTCTTCATTCAATTTCTGTGATTGAGAATGAATGTTTTACTATCTTTTCATTGTGTAGTATTCGAAACCTGAGACGGGCTATGCTATAACTAGACGGATTGTGTCACGAATCTTAGTGTAGAGTGGACAATTTGTGCTGGTTGACATAGTGCGTGCTTGAGCTTTGAACATAAATTTATCTCTCCAATTCCAAACTTGTAATTGACGAATTGGCTCGTTTCATTCATTCATTGCATAATTCAAGTTTGTAATTCCGGGTAGAAAGCTAGTAGTAGATTCGGACCCCTAAGTTCTCAATTCTAATTAATTCATTATCATCTTATTACTTTATTAATTGGGGTTTTATAAATTATTTTTGGGAATAAACCATCAAATATCAACTAAACTAATTGAGAAATTAATAATTAAAATAGTTTTGGAATACGCAATAGTCCTTGTGGATACGATACTATACTTGCTATCGATCCTTATTTAATAGAGTTCGGAAGATTGGCTCACGACATACCAGTTGAGATTGGACAGGTTTTCTCGATGACGTGGAGGAGATGAGGAAGGAGAAAAAGGCAGAGTTTAGGGAGGCACTGGCGACAAAGAGAGGAGATGAGGGAGAGATGGTGGCATCTGCAGGAGGAGATGTGGCGGTGGGGAAGTGGGGAAAGGATGTCAACAGCAACAGATCAAACAGGACGACAATGATGGAGGTGAAGTCCATCGGTAGAGAGAGAGAGAGAGAGGAGAGTAGAGAGAGAGAGTAGGGTTTGATTTGGAGAAATGTAGGGTTTGGATGGGTGGTGCTATATATATGGGCAATTTAGTCATTTTGTAAGAATTTGTCTTCATAGACAAATTATTTCACTGGTTAGACATTTGAGCAAAGAAAATCCAAAAGATGGAGAGCATCCATAAATAATGATAACAAAATAAAAGGTGAATCGTCTACGCAAACGTTAACAAATAAACATGGCTTAGACAAATTCTTGACAATCAAAAGATCTAATGTTATACCACAAGCAAGTCAAACTATCAAGGAAGGTTGGCATGAAATTCAAAATATTATTTTTTATTTTCCAAAAAACACTTTAAGGAGCTTAAACGACTAGAAGATGTGATCATTCACTTATACTGTACTGACATATTATTCGTGTTATATATGAGTATAAATAAATAATTAAAAATTAATTTTAAATTTTAAATAATAATATAAAATTTATCTAAAATATACAGTAAAAATGATTTATAATTAATTAAATTTTATTCATTTTTTTTCGAAATTACACATAAAAGAAAGTTTTTATTTTAATGTCAATAATTATGTATTCTAAGTTCTTAATAAAAAGTATGTCATAATTTAATTAGTAAAAATTAAAAAAATAAATTACAAAAATTTATGATAAAATATAAATACATTTTATTTTAGAAATATTTACCAATAAATCTAATCTCACAAACTGTTATATCAACCAGTCCCACTTTTATTTTTTTGTTCCGTTAAGTTCGCTGGTGGGGAGATTTGTTCCTTTGTGATTCTATTTTAAATGTTTAGTTTGACTGTGTGGACGATTGTACCTTTTGTTTGAGTGAGGCGTGTTTTGCAGGACCACTTCTGTGTTTGGAAACATTGCAGATTCGGTTGTGTGATGTGGGAATGGGGTGGTGTATGATGTGGGTTAGGTGGTTGTGTGTATGGAAATACTTGGTCAAATAAATTGTGTGAATGGACCAATGAAGGTGGGGACCACAGAAAGTGGTAAACAATGTTTTGGTGTGGGGTTGGATATGTGGGGGTTTGGGCTTATTTCTTTTTTGTACTGACATTGCATGGGTGTGGGTATGTGGATGTTTGTGTGCCATGTGGCAACCAGCAAACATGCAAGTGTAGTATAAAACCCCTTAGTGCGCTTTACCCTTGTGTGACACCACAATTATGTGTCACGTGACATACATACAATACCTTCCTCTCAGATTTACAAGTGTGTGCCACACGCGCCTAAACCTGATCCCCTCATATATAGCTGTACCGCATATATTAATTTGTCAACTGAGGGCATTTACGTCCTTCAAAAAATGGCAGGACTAAACGGATTATTAGAAAAAAAAATGAGACCAATTGGATCATAAGATCAACATTTGGGATTTATTGGTAAATCTCCCTTTATTTTATAAGTTTCATAATTTTAATTTACCATATGATACTAGTAAATTACATTTGTTAATATACTAATTTTTTTTCCCTATTTTGTAAAATCTAAAAATTGCAAATTATTTTATGTCATAACTCTTACGTGAGAATGGATTAGGATTGGCTTGTGGTATTAAAGTTACATTAAACATTAGCAGTGACCTATGAGCCAGTTGAATCAATATTTATGCCAATATGACATTCACCTAATCATTAAAAATTGTCTTGATTCATATCCAACTTATGAATCATTTAGCCTATTTATTTATTAAATTGGTAAATATATTTTTTGTAATAAAAATATGAACATATGAACATACTTTATGCATATTTATTAAAAATTTGAACTTAAGTAAAAAACTTATATATTTATGTTAATACTATGAAATGAATAGTTATGTATATTTATGTATAAAAAAAATTATCTAAGATAGAATGTCTTATAATAATAAATTTATTATCAATTTTTTAGATTAAATTTATGATATACTAAATAAACTGAGAATAAATAAAAACAAGTAAAACTAAAAACTTAAGGAACTAAGCTGAATTAAATAATGTAAAAGACATATTAAACTAACGACTATAAAACAACTACTAACCTAAATTAAATAAACTAATACGGAGGGTTTTTTTTTTTTTTTTTCACAAAGACCCAAAAAGAAAAAAAAAAAAAAAAAAAAAAAACCCCAACACAACTTCTACCTCTATTTCGCATTGCAATAGCACTTTAAAAACACCTAAATACTCAACAAAAGTATAATCTTCATGCGGAAACCATAGGTACTACTTCTTTTCCTGAGTATGTAATTTTTCCTATTCTTCAATAGGGTGATAGATTAGGTTGATTTAGTAACCAGAATTGAGGCGCCAAAAGCTACCTCAACCTATAGGGCTACCGTATAGATTTCGAACCGAGGTGGTTTTGAAGCAATCTTTACACTCTTGGGTCTTTAAACCAGACTTTAGTTTCAAAATTTCCAAACCTTTGCATTCTAGGCTTTGCCATTCGAACTCTAATTTCCACAGTCTTAGTTGGTCTTCTAGGAACTCATTATAAACACAGTCAAGTGGCTATACCAGATCCGTCAGATGCAATTCAAGCATGACACACACTAAAGGAATTGCACCTTTAAAGGATTTAAAGTCTCCCAGACATCAAACAATCACTAGAGAAGATACATTGGGTCTGTCAATTGAACGGATTCAATCATCTCCCCCTCTTTAATACCATCTACGTAATGTTTCAATATTTGGCCATTGACCTTGAAGGTCATGCCATCTTGTGAATTTTTTATTTCAACCGCCCCATGCAGAAATACTTCAACGACCTCAAATGATCCATCCCACCTAGATCGAAGTTTACCTGGAAACAAACTCAATTTGGCATTGAAGAGACACAGTTTTTGGTGACGCTCAAAGGACTTTTGAGAAATGTGTTTATCATGAAATGTTTTAGTCCTAGCCTTATAAATCTTAGAGCTCTCATATGCATCATTGTGTGGTTCCTCCAACTCATTGAGTTCGAGTTTTCGATGGTCACCGACCCTCACCATATCAAAGTTGAACTTTTTGATGGTCCACAAGGCACGGTGTTCTAACTCTACAGGGAGATGACAAGCCTTCCTAAACACAATCCTATATGGAGACATCCTAATGGGTGTCATATATGCAGTGCGATAGGCCCAAAGTGCAACAATCAACCTAGTTGACCAATCTTTCTTATTCGACCTAACAGTTTTCTCAAGGATGTGATTGACCTTCCTATTAGAAACCTCCACTTGACCACTAATTTATAGGTGATAAGGAGTGCCAACTTTGTGAGTGATCATGTATTTGCACACTAAGGCCTTAAAGAATTTGTTGCAAAAATGCTTACCACCGCCACTAATTACGGCGCGTGGAAACCCAAAACGACTGAATATAGTTTCATGAAGGAATTTGACCACAACTTTGTGATCATTCATTTTAGTTGCCACTGCTTTAACCCACTTTGAGACATAGTTCACTGCCACTAAAATGTATTCAAACCCAAAAGGTGGTGGAAATGGACCCATAGAGTCAATGCCTCAAACATAAAAAATCTCAACAATCAAAATAGGGGTTATCAACATCATGTTTTTATAGGACATAGAGCCCATTTGCTAACATCACAAACAAGCTCTACAAAAATTATAGGCATCCTTAAAGATATAGGGCCAATAGAACCCACATTATAAAATCTTGGCGGTTGTTTTCTGCCAATTGTAATGGCCGCCACGTGCATGGGAGTGACAAAATGTGAGAATGCTATGTATCTCACTCT